TCATTAAGCAGCAGAGATAACTCGCAACATCAGCAACGCATTTAGCTCACGAATCGCTGGCAAACGTACAGTGCACTGGAGGTTGAAGGAGTTCCGTGAAGGAGACGAGAGCCTTGGAGATGAGGACCATAATGGCCGGCTACGGGAAGTTGACAACAACCTATTCAAAAGTCATCAAAGCTGATCCTCTTAAGACTAAATGAGATGCTGTAGAAGAACTCAATGTTGATCATTCTACCGTCTTTTTCCATTCGCTGGAGGTATAGTAAAAGCAATTGCGGTTTCACGTCGCCGAAAAACCGCAATTACTTTTTATTGCCTAAGTTCAACACCTAGGCTTGCACTGTAAAGTGGCAAGGGGAGCGGAAGTTCAACTTCATCTAGAGTGAGAGCTAAAGCATGTCACGAAGAGTTTTTTCTTTCTTTAGACTTATAATTTTTTCAAGTTACAAGTTTCTCACTATTGTTGTCGCATAGTGTTAAGATGTAAAAAAAAAGTTCTTGGTCCAAAGCGCGGAATCAATCGCTCATTTTTATGAGTTTCTGAGGATCGACATCTGTGAAGTAAATCAAGGCACTTCATGACAACAATAGCGATGCCGATGAAGGTCAGCTCTTGTCGGTCTATGACTACCCGATCAGGCATGATGAGCATCTGCCAACATCAATCAAGTTTCAGTAGATAGTGGTAACTCGAAATAATGTTTCTAGGTGCTTCTAAGTAGCGATAACAGCATAAATTTCAACATTCGTTAGTATTGTATATAATTCAATTAACAAAGCGAATAGCAAGAAGGTTAGAGAAGCCATGCAGTATATTGATAGCCGATGGGTTCATCCCTGTTAGTGAATAATCAGGGCAGTAAATAAACAAATAAAAACTCCTTAGATTCAGTAGGGCAGTAAGTAACTGTAGTGACTGAATGTGTTTTGCGGAGCTAGCTCGGCATACCAGATAAATTCTTCTAACGAGCATTCAAGGACATCCATGAAAATGATAAAATTCTTTAATAACAGCCGAATCAATGCGAAATAAAACATCTAAGGCGTGATCAATGAAGTCAATAAACCGAATGTAAGAATAGGTGGGGTTTATGCGATATGTAAATGCGAGCCATACAGTAATCAACATTTTGCGAACGAAAAGGACTATTCTGATTTTTAAACTTTTCAAAGAGGTTCTTCGTTTGACAAAGCTTTTCGCATAGAGTTCAGTGGTCACAAGAAAGATCAAATCTCAACGACCTTAAGATTAGGTTCCCTTTCAAATGACCTTTTGAGTACGCTGTAGCAGCAAATATAAAATTATGTTTCACACTCGTTCGCTTTGTTTGTTCTGCTATGGTCTATGAATCGTTTTTTTAATAAACTATACTCATTCGATGGCACAACTCTTAATATTTCAAAGCTAAATTTGGCTCCTCAAAAAGGTCTTCCTAGTGCGCTATAGAAACGGAAGAAGATCACTTTTCATGCTCGCAATATTCTTCGCACATCAGCTTTATTTTTGCACAAAAACTATATGAGTGTGTAGAGAAAACTATGTTTACCAGAGTAATAAAAAATTAGCCTTTCCCAAAACTAGGAAGAAATCTTTACCTTACTAAATAACGGGAATCGTGCGCCGCGTGCGACCACGATTATGCTCCCATCCCCAAAGAGTTTAAAAGAAAACCAAGTTATGGTGCAAAGAGTTGAACAGCTCTGAGAATATGGTGCAAAGAATGATGAGCGAGATTATGATGTAAGCTTCGAGCTTATGAAAACCTGCCAGTAGAAAATACATATATGGTGGCGACTATATAGTAGACAATCTGCACTAATTAGATCACGGCAGTGTTAAGTTCTCGTTTAGTATGAAATTTAGAATGTCAAAAATTGGTTGTAGTCAATCTCTATTACAGCTTGTTGATCAATAACTCATACGATGTTCTAGAAAATGTTGTAATGGATAGTATTAAGGACGAACACATGTTAGGCTTGACTAGGTACCAACGAAAGCCGTTAATCAAATGACTCTACGTACACCTATCATTTACCACGATTGAGTACCCGTCTACTCCTTGAGGTTTGGGATCTGTTTTTATAAACACATGGCACTGCGCTTGAGAGTGACGTTATACACCGTGTATCAACATACCCAGATAATTTGGAAGCCTTCAAACCAGCCCGTCAGCTACTCAAAGATGAACGATAGTCATGCTGTGAATAGATTATATATAGCAAGGTTTCATGCGAACTCCTGAAAAGGTTACAGAATTTTTCTAACTTAAACTTATCGGAAGCAACTTTTCGTTGAAACCACTCGAAAGTAACTGACCCCCTCAGACAAGACACTGTGAGATCGATCGAATACAGTGATAGAAGATCTTCTTATTTACTCTCTAGTTTTACTAGGTCATTCTACAAGTTTCAACACCAGTGCAATAGACACAAAATCTATTAACCAGAAGTGATCAAAATTCCATAAGTTTGGTATTTTTCAATGCGCACTTTCTTGCAAACATTTTGGTAAACAACTCGCCTATAACTGTTTGAAGTTGGAGCGGTCGTAGGAAGAAATTCTCCTGGTACTCATGCACGAATGGCGTGTAGGAGAAATGCTAGTGAAGCGGTGCTCAAGATTAACTTTCTGACCTCTACAAATATCATCAAGGCGCATTAATCTCGATATGCGCAATAGTGAAAAGGCTAAAGATTTTCTCGCTTCAATACCTTCAGACGATCTTAAAAAATGAAGATGAATGCATAGCGCGGCGCGCAGGGATTGGTCAGCGCCAAGAGCTTTGATCCTTCGCACTGGTGTACGTCTCAGACCGATTCGATGTATATATTTTCTACGTGCTTAGACAGCACCCGCTTCTTGTCGGATTTTTTGTAGTTACCAATAGGTTGTTAAACACAAGTGCTGTACGGGGTTGGTGTGGTTTGCAAAACCTCTATTCTCCACGTAAAATCATACAAATATTGTTCTCCGAGCAGAACAGTTTGATGCGTCAAAACGGTACTGATTTCTAAATGATTGGTCGGTTGTTAAGGGTTGAAAAAGCTAACTTTTATCGAGTATCGGGTTCATGGCACTTGGACTGTTTTTTAATTTTTGTCCATCTCGCAAGACGGATGCAAGTTAGCAAACTTGCCAAAAATATATCAAACAAAAAAGGTCTATAACTTTATACATTATGTGAAGATGGAATACGGACAGGTAAAAGCACTGGTAGATGATGATGGAAACATATGCCGTTCGCGCGGCACAAAGTGTGAAACAATTCTCCTTAAGAAGAAGTATGCACGTTGAGCAGAAAATGAATATTCAGTGGTGCAAAAGAGAACTCATTGAATGGCGTCACCGCTTTTAATGGTCAAATTCATGCTTGGAGCAACCATTAAGATAGCATTCAAGATGCTTGCAAACGTTTATTCTTCAGCTGTTTCTTATTTTGTTATCTTTTGAACATTCCAAGCACTTTTTGTGATTACATGAAACCATTTATTTTCTATTCCATGATCTGCATGGTCAGTTGTAATCATTTCAGTTTGTTGAAGACTTCTTTCGATCTATCCTCCTATAAGCCTTTCCTTCCGAATCACGGAGTCGTGGTTTTGTCAAATTTTCCCTTGACACTTTATTTTGATAGACGAAAGCACTTTACATCACTTATATTATTTATTCCTTTATTTTCATATCGCCTATATACTTCGATTATTCAAAAATAATTCGAAATATATAAGAGACATCAAAAATCTCCCTATATCGATTATACTAATTTTTTTAGTATGAAAAGCTCTGTATCGCTTATAGTATTAATTTATTTACTTATTATATCGCTTATAACTTCGATTTATATCAAAAATTACATTACAGACAGCTGAAAAACCATACCGTCCACTTGCACTGCTGATTTTCACTGAATTTTGTTTTCCGGCTCTCCTTGACCTGCGTGTTCTTGGAGCACGGGTTCTTCGTGGACTTCGCCCACTTTTCGACCTTCTTCGCGACCTGCGTCGAGTCCTATCACCAGTTGGACTTCTAGGACGTCTAAACGGACGTCTCTCGGTTGATCGACGCCACTCGACCTTGACATTTTGCAAGGCCAAAAATAAAAGTGACATGGAAGAACTATATATGAGCCCCTTCTGGTCACTTATTGATAAAAACCAAAAATGTCGAAAAAACATCAGCTTGACTACTCACCTCTTTCGGCGTCGACGTGAGGATGAGACAAAGAAGTTCTCGCCTTCTTCAAAATGGACTCACGGCGAGCCCTGGTTGCGTGGCTACGCTTTCGACGACTTTCCGCAATGGAGAGATCTAACAGCGCGAAGGAACGTAGAGCCTTTGACTTGGCATTAGGGTGCCAGTATTATTGGACGCGCTAGTAAAATTGAGCCATAACGCCTTTCTGCTCATTTAAATACTGATGCTGATATCATTTTATCTTCACAGTGTCAATCATAAGTCAATACAAGCCCATGACGTTACATGTTTACCAGTAGAAAAGTTCTCGTTGAGAATCAAGACACATCACTATATCTCATCGACCGTTTTCAGAGCTCACCTCACGCAGTCACATCAATACGTTGTCAGTACGATAAATAAGTGATGCCGTTTGGCTACTGACCTACAATAATGCGCCACTCTAGATTACACTGCTCCACGACGAACAGTTCATTTGACACTTGAGCGAATTGAGTGGTGAGCAAAAATACAACCTCAGATGGGAGTCGAACCCGCGTTTCATCCATTCCGAGACGCTGCTACCACTACACCACCAAGGTGCAATCGCACCACCACTCATTCTTCGACATCTCTGAGTTAGCGGTTAGCCATCAACCCCTAACAGCTTTGGTCGGGTAAACGATTTCGCTCTATTAACCCAGTTGAGCTGACAGCCAGTGTTGGGTATAATACTCAAGAATTATGATATTTTTGCTGCTTTTTTTCGCAGTGTTATTGAAATTCATATATACCTAAGCGAATTGAGTAGTGAGCGAAAATATGAACTTAGACAGGAGTTGAACCCGCGCTTCGTCCATACCGGAGACGCGTGCTACCACTTACACCACAGAGATACATTCCTACCACCACTCATTCTCCAATACCTCTATGATAGCTTAGTAACTCTATGGTATGGTATCACTTATCACAATAGTTGTCAGCCCAACTGAGTTTATAAAACGAAATCGCATGCGCGACCATACCTGCTAAAGGGTGGTGGCTGCCAGTTTCTATAGAGATATTGAAGAATGAGTGGTGGCACGAATTTACGTCGGCGGTGTAGTGGTAGCACGCATCTCCGGTATGGATGAAACGCGGGTTCAACTCCCGCTTAGGTCGAATTTTCGTTTGCCACTCAATTCTCTTAGGTATATCGAATACATCATAACATTGCGAAAAATTCAGTAAAACACAGGAAAATTGTAATACTCACAAAAATAAAATAGTCCTCATATCTAATGGAAACTATTGGGCCTATCACAAATTTTTTAACACATACATTTGCATCAGCTTCTATCCATTCAAGATTAAATTGTTTTTTAAAGGCTGTGGCGTGATGGAAAATGATCTGGCAGCTCTAGCCAGGGTTAGAAAACCTACAAAGGGCATAGACTATAATGGTACAAAAGGTATAAACAGTAATATCGGATAGCACCAGATGCATTAGCCAACCACGATCGCGTTGCATGAGCTTCTTCGAAATTGTTCTGCTGGCAACCGCACAGACAGGACTTTCTCAGTTCGACCATTGTTGGATATGAGACTTGGGTCTGCTGCGAAAAAATAGGCACCACTCTTACTGGCCGCCTCATGACAAAGACCTGTTAACTCAACCAAATTCCAAGATTAAAGCACGAAAGATTGTCCTCTTAAATCTCTGAGATTGGCAAGACATGCTGTTTTATTAACTGTTCGAAAACAAGCAGACAATCAATGCCGACGTCTACGAGCAATACTTTTTGGAAGTTAGTCGCAGCTATGCGGGAAGTGTCCTGCTTGACTTATATAACCTTCATCCCCATTTTTTGTAGAAGAAAGGCATTTAGTCTTTGCCGAGCAATGGATGCATAATCGTGATGGCGATTACATCTTAACTGACAGATTCCTCCAGACAATTAACAATCGAATCAATGAAAGAAGAGAGGCGGAAGATATGGGAAAACCAATACACTTGAGTCCATTGAGACGGATGCAAGATAGCAAACGAGCCAAGCATAACAAATACAAGAAGATCTATAATTTACACATTACGTGAAGATGGAACACGTAGAAGTAAAAGCACTGGTAGATAACGATGGAGACATAGGTAGTTCTCGCAGCAGAAATTGTGAAATGGTTAACAGTTTTCCTCAGTGGGGAAGCACACATGTTGAGCAGAAAATGTATATTTAGCGGCGCAAAAGAGAAAACCATATTGAATCGGAATCACCGATTTAATGATTATATGCATGCCTTCCGCAACAGAGTTGGAAGGATGACAAACCAGAGCCTTTCTTCCTTATGACTTTCCTTGCTAACCATTCAGCCATTTCTTCAGGAGAGCATGAGGCGCAGTGGTCAGAGGTGCTCTGCGTCGCACCCAAGATGATGGTTCGATCTCGCGCTCATAGCTCTCCAAGCCAACCATCCCTCTGTGGTCGCTAAATTGGTACCAGACAAGTCCCAAACTTGGCTGAGAAGAGACAGCACTGATTCAATGCAGCGTTGAGCCACCGCTGCCTATTGTGAAGGTCACATGTACATTCAATCACCTTGAACGAAATAGAAATCAAAGACGAATGCATGGCGCATCCCTCAAGGAGATTAACGTCGAGAGCTTTATCCGTATATCATTTACGCATGTCTTTGAGAAACCATTCAGATGACATTCAGGATACCTACAAACGTTTGTTACTTTTTTTTTGTCATCTCTTACACATTCCAACCACTTTTCGTGATTACATTGACCATTTATTTCTTTTCTATGATTCGAATCGTCTGTTGCAGTTACTTCGGTTTATCGAAGACTTCTATCGGGTGATCCTCGTGCGAGTTTTCCTTTCGAATAACGGAGTTATGGTATTGTAGATTTTCCTCTGACATTAAATTATTTTGAATGACGAAAGCACTCTATGTCACTTATATAGTTTATTTTCATTCAAAATTAGATTACTAAAAGTTGAAAACAGACCATCCCACTTGCATTGCTGAGTTTCACCGGTTTTTTGTTTTCGGCTCCCTTTGTTTTACGTGTTCTTGGAGCACGCGTTCCTCGTGGACTTCGCCTATTTCTCGACGTTCTTCGCGCCCTACGTCGAGTCCCATCACCATTCGGACTTGTAGAACGTCTAGACGGGCTTCTGCTGGTTGATCGACGCGCCACCGACCTTAACATGTTGCACGCCCACAACTAGTGGCATAGAACAACTACAGGTTAACCTCTTTTACTTCGTTATTGGTGAAAATCAAAAGTGTGAGAAACATCAGCTTGAATACTCAGCTCTTTCGGAGTCGGTGTGAGGGTGAGGGGCATGAGTTGTCGCCTTTTTCAGAGTAGGCTTAGGGCGAGCCTTGATCATGAGGCTACGCCTTGGGCGATGTTTAGCAAGGGAGAGAGTATCTCTGGGACCACGAGGAGACTTTTAGCTATGGATCTCCACTAGGCTACCAGTATTAGTGGACATGTTAGTAAAATCACCCACATCGCTTTCTTGCTCATTTGAATACCTTTTGCTGATGCTGATATAACTTTATCTCTATATAGTTGATCATAATCCAGTAAAAGCCTATGACGTTACATGTTCATCAGTCGAAGATTTCTCGTTGGGAATCAGAACACATCATTACATCTTATCGAGTGTTTTTAAAGCTCGGCTCAGACATTCAATATACTCATATCATTACGTTTTCAATACGATGAAGAGGTGATGTCGTTTGGTTAACACGCGGTTTACAATATTGGGCCACTCTAGATAGCATTACTCCAAAACGAACAATTCTTTGATGCCATGTGCCGTAGTAGTACTCTAACCAGAGATCATATCAAATGGTGAGGATAAACATGAGGAGGCAAGAAATTGATAAAGAAATAACGACAATAGCCTAACCCGCAAAGGGCCCAAAAAACAGTTCAAATGTATCTCTTACAATTGAACTGAAGAGTTAAAAAAGATGACTCTGGTTTCTATAATAAAACATGTAGAAAATCCCTTCTTGTCAGGTCTTAAACCTATCGTTTCCTTTTTAGTACCCATTCATGAAGTCCTCGTAAGCAGCCATACATTTCAAAAAGCATATCTTGAATCTATGTAAAATTTTTTAATCAAAATAGAGTGTATTGCTATCCAGATTTCTCCAAGTAGATAAAAATTATTCCTCCTGCTGCTATAAGAAAAATGAATATTTTGGAGGCTCCAATCTTAAGCCAGCACAAAAATTTCACTCCTTTAGAAGCCTTCTATTTTTTTCAATTACATAGCAAAGTGTCTTTAAAATTTACGTCAAGCTCTCAGCTTCTCAGATCATCTAGTTACTGAATATTATTGTGATTCATTACACAATCGCGACGTTATTCAGGGAGAATAGGCAAGGCCGGATTTATAACCGGGATTTTATTATTTATCATATCCGATTATTAGATGAATCGTTCTCATTCGTGTGGATCGATCTCATACAAAAAAATACTGAAATAGAAACAAAAGTTGTCATTCTAATCGTATTAGGGCAGTCGTTTAGATAATACAATCAAGAAGTGATAGGGCGATCATTATTGGTTATTTTTATCAGCCTCTGCATCTAAATTGCCCCGACAGCAAAGGTCAAATTTTTTCCTCCAGTTACTCGAAAAGCAAAGCATGAACCTCCTCCTCAAGTAACTATTCGACTTGCGAAAAAGCCGTGGCAACACCTTTCGAAATCCTGCTATCAATGTGTTTGGTTGATCATGTAGTAATGTAACAACAATAGCATTAACATCCTTTACTATAACACCGTAAGTTCATCGATCGTACAAGCCCTCTTGCTAAAAAGTTTGCCGTTTACTTGCTTATTATGTTGAGAAACTCAGCTCAACCCTTTCCAGTTGACGGATAAGTTGTTCTTCTTTTTGTGTAGTCGCCGTAAGGTATCGTCCCACGTAGTAGTCAGAAAGAGGAAATTGAGTTATTGGATGTTATGAGTTGATTTCAACCGGTCTTGTTTACTGAATTCATCCGATGTGTACGCTGGTTGACGCTACAGACTTTACATCTCGATTTCAATTCACAAATCCATCAAATTCCAATGATAGTCAATCCGGTGGGCTGCCAAGCGAAATTGGCAACACTAGCGAAGGGTGGTCGTTTCGTTTCGAATGTACGTATGATATGATATGGTACGATATATTAACGATACCAAGCGAGAGCACTCGAGTATACAACAGTGTACAATTAGTGATAATTTCGCTTAATGGACGGTGTAAAGCGTTCGTCGCCGCCTACTCATAGTATAGGGGATTGAGCGTCCCGAGAAGACTGGCAAAAAGCAAAGGGTACCGCCCGCCTGACAAGACTATCAAGGTCGAAACACGTGTATCGGGCTCTATAAGTTTGCCTTGTAACAGACCACATGACATGCTGGCTCAATTAATAATTATGACATATGTATAGGATCATTTTTGAGCTGATTATGTCTTCAATTTTTTTCTTCCACGGATGCTGCCTCAAGACCCGGAAGAGATGATAGTCCGATGGAGCCTTATCAGAGCAAAACGGCTGATGTTGCACTGTGATATAACGTAGTTTCTCCGAAATGTGGCAACTCGACTTTGAAGTAAGAGGTAGTTGGTGAATGCATGAGGCGTCCTTCAAGACATCACTTTTTGATAGCCTGTTTCATCCAAATGGCGGGCGATGGTGCTAGGGCCGTATCCAAGTGTCTGTTCCAGCTGCTAGAGCATTCTCCACCATAGCGCAGCCTTTTTATAATAATCCGACTTGAAACAGAAAAAAATCAAAAAGAAACAACATCGCAAAAGAAATTAGGAGCAACTTAATATATAGCTGATATTGTACAACGTTATGATATCTAACGGTGGAAGTGATACATAATACTTTAATGGACAGTGTTTTGAGTTTTTCCATAAAAAAAGTTGAAGTAGTTTATTGTGCTTTTTTTCTCCATGTGCGATTATATACCGACTTAGCAAAAGGTTCTTCATATAAATCATCATGAACTGCTTCATCATATTTTACCACGGTATCTCGTATGAGCGTCAGTAGTGTGAAAAAAGACGTGAGTCGAGAATCGCTTTTATTCAAGTCTCTGGGTCTCCATTTTGACGTGATCTCTGGTTAGAGTACCATTCTTGCACATGGTATCAA